ATAAGAACAAGGAAAGCAGACAAAGGGACAGATTCAAATTCAATCATTAAGCAAGAAGTGGTAGTGCACATCAGTAATCCCATCCCCAACAAGACTGAAGCAAGAGGATCACCCTGAGTTGGATGCCAACCTGGGATATAAGTGAGACCTTGTGTCAAAAGAAAAAAAAAAAATTAGGGCCAGGGACTTAGCTCAGTGGTGGCCCCGCTTGCTTCACAAGTGCAAGGACCTGAGTTAGATCTCCCGTACCAAAAAAAGAAAATGGAAAAACACAAGGACCCGAGTTCAATCACCGGCACCAAAAAAAAAAAAAAAAAAAAAAAAGAAAGAAAGAAAAGAAAAAAGAAAAAAGAAAAAAGAAAAAAGAAAAAAAAATTACATTAAAAAAAGTAAAATAAAACTCAATCAGGGCTGTGGATTTAGCTCAGTGGTTCCACTACCTGCCTTGCAAATGCAAGGACCTTAGTTTGATCTCCAGTACCAAAAAAAAAGTCAATTATTATTGATACATTTTTCTCCTCACCCCAAAAGCAAATGTTTAAAACAAAGATGATTAAAAAGCCGGGTGCCATGGCACACGCCTGTAATCCCAGCACTCGGGAGGCTGAGGCAGGAGGATCACTGTGAGTTTGAGACCAGCCTGGGGCTACACAGTGAGTTCTAGGTCAGTCTCACTACATAGTGAGACTGTTTAAAAAAAAAAAGATGATAAAGCACGTCAGGTAGAACAGTATGTTAAAGAAAACTGATTTTTATCTGGGTGATAAGACTTTAAGAACAACTTTATTACTTTTATTTTCCAAATCTTTTTTGATTACTTTTAGTTATAAATGCATTTAAGACAAGAGTCAGATATGGTGCATCAGGCCTGCAATCTCCGCACTCTGGGAGCTGAAAGAGGAAGACTGCAAGTTCAAACCTGAGCAATTTAGCTACTTAGTGAGACCCTGTCTCAAAATATTTAAAAAGTGGTAGCACACACCCATAATCCAGCACTAGGGACTACTCAAGAGGCACGAGGATCACTCTGAGTTCCAGGCCAGCATAGGCTACATAATGAGTTCAAAGCCAGCCTGAACTACACAGCAAGACCCTGTTCTCAAAATCAAAAAGGGGGTCTAGGGTTTAGATCAGTAGCTCCATACCTACCTTGTAAGCATAAGGTCTTGAGTTGGGGGGGGGCAGTGTTAGGCTATAGCTCAGAGCAAAGGCCCTGAGTTTACTTCCCAGTACGACACACATACACACACTAAAGACCAGAAGAAACTGAATTACAATTACTAAAAGCTGGGTGTACTTGTGATCTATCTGAATAAAATATGAATCACTTCATCTCACCTTTAAAATTTTCACTTGTAGCGCACCTGCCTCACAAGCACCAGGTCCTAAGTTTGAACCCTGTACCAAAAAAAAAATGTTTTTTTCACTTGCCTGGCAGGGAGTGTACCCCTCAATCCCATCACTTGGGAGGCTGAGGCACGACTGTTGAGTTCCAGGGCAGCATGGGCTACATAGTGAGTTCAGGGCCAACCTGAACTACATAGTGAGAGTGCCTCAAAAAAAAGAAAGAAAAAACCAAAAATTTTCACTAAACTGGAGGACATTATACTAAGTCAAATAAACCAGAAATAGGAAGAAAAAGACAACCAGGTATGGTGCTACATGCCTGTAATCACAGCACTCGGAAGGCTGAGGCAGGAAGATTTCTGTGACTTCAAGGCCAGCCTGGACTACATAATGAGTTGAAAGCCAGTCTGCACTACATATAATAGCAAGACCCTGTCTCAACCCCGCCCCGCAATAGTATGTATATGTTTAGGGTAAACATATTATCTGATATATAACACTGGAACTAAAATTAATTATATTAAGTTTTTTTAAATTAAAAAATAAATGAGAAGCAAGACCTGTCATGTAAAGGTACAAGATCCCAGTAATGAATGTAACTGTACTGTCTACATAAATTCAATTTAAATAATTAATTAATTAATTAATTGACGTAAGGGCCAGGGATTTAGCTCAGTGGTGCCACCACCTGCCTCGCAAGTGCAAGGACCCGAGTTCATCTCCAGTACCCCCCAATAAATAAATAAATAAATAAAGCTACTATTGTCACACAAAAGGTTAACTATGAGATATCACATGTTAATCTTCACTATAATAAACATTTTATTATTTATATGTACCCTATAATATTGTGTTGTAAATTTCGAACACAATATAATTCACTTTAAAAATTTGTTTCACTAACACTTTTGCAAATTTCGAACACAATATAATTCACTTTAAAAATTTGTTTCACTAACACTTTTGCAAAATGGATTTTATTAGTCTACAATACCAATAAAGTAGCTCAGATATTGGCATATTCGATACCAGAATAAACATAAAAATGATTTCTGGATTTGATTCTGTTGAGGTCATTAGAGTCCTCAAAAGAAAGGATGAATTGACATGATCTTAATCTTAAGAATTACTGTCACTGGGAATTTGGCTCAGTGGTTCCACCACCTGCCTAGCAAGCACAAAGTCCTGAGTTCAACCTCTGGTACCCCCCCAAAAAAAAGAATTACTGTTGTAGCCAGGCATGGTGGCACATGTCTGTTAATTCCAGCACTTGGGAGGCTGAGGCAGGAGAATCACTAAGAGTTCAAGGCCAGCCTAACCTACATAGTGAGGCCCTATCTTCAAAACAAAACAAATATACTCCCAGCACTCTGAGAAGCTGAGGCAGAAGGATCCCAAATGGGATCCCAAGTTGGAGCCCAGCCTGGCAATTTAGTAACTAAGCCAAAAAAATTAAAATAAAATAAAAAGACTGGGGATGTAGCTCAGAGTGAAAGCCAAAAAGGCTGGGGATACAGTTTAGGCAGTGTGAAGGCCCTGGGTTCAAATCCCAGTACCAAAAACAAAACAAAAACCTGTCCTTGCCACTTATTAGGCATTCCTCTTTCTTCTGTCTCTTGAAATAATCTCCTCACCCCCTTCTATTTCTCCAAATCTAGTTACCAATAATTCTCTTAGAGGTGTATTTTCTAACAACAGCCAACCATAACCCACCACCTCCTCTGAATTCTTACTGCCCTGATTCATGCTGTACATCTGGAACTTGCTCATTGTACTGTATTAAACTGGGCATGGTGGTGCACACCTGTAGTCTCAGCACTCAGGAGGCTGAGGCAGGAGGATCACCATGAGTTCAAGGCCAGCCTGGGACTACAGTGAGGTGAGTTCAAGGCAGCTGGAACTACACAGAGAAACCCTCTCAAAAAACCAAAACAAAATCTGTGTTTCATCGGATTATGAATTTTTTGCGTTTAAGGATTATATTCCTAAATCCTTGCACTAGAATGTCTCATATAAAATGATTTATAACACATAAATGGTTCTTTTAGTTTTCCAAATTTGTTTATATACTTCTGAATCTTACCACTACATAACAGGATTAACTCTCATTTTTTCACAAAAGGACAATTTTAGACTGCAACTTACCCAATTTATGTTCAACTAATAAATCTTTAAGATCTATTTACAGTACTAAATACATGTAGAAAATATAAGAAACTTCCTTAACTAAGGAAAGGAAAATTAATACTGTAATTAGGAACCTGAAGTTCAACCCTGCTTAACTATGCAAAACCCACTTTACCCTTGGAGCCCTTAATAACGAAATAAAAAACTGCCAACACAACAAATATGTCACTAAAAGAACACTATCCTCGACTTCTAAAAGTATATAAAATTCTAATAAATATCATGGCTTCCATTTAGTAAGGAAAGGGGACATTTCAGCAACAAACCTTAGTATTACAAAACTTGAAATCAGAACAAATTTTGCAAGAGCCATGTGACACACACACATGCCAGTCAGCTAAACTGATGGGTGGATCTTTTAGGGGAAGATGTTTAGCAGTAATTGACCAAAGTAGCAAATAAATGTGAATTTTATGACATACACCGGTTTTTGCTTATAAAAAAATTCCCCGTCTCCCCTAGACTTCTGACACTAAAGAATATCATTTAAATGTCCTCTGTTTACTCATATACAGATATGTAAACCGCAGGATTTTTTAAAAAGCTACTGAGGAGAGCCCACCAAAGTCTTCCTAAGGAAAATGAACACCAATTCCCATGAAAAGCACAGGTGTGTCACATCTGCTGTGGGAACTTTCTGAGTAAGCAAGAAAAAGGAATGCATTAACTTTTCATGACACGTCATGGAACCTCATTCCCTATCTGTAAGCATTGAAGCAGGTAATCCGAACCTACAGATCTTTATTGGTCCTACTTCTTTCTTTCTAAAATTGACAGAAAACTCCTTTAATTTGGTAGTATCTGTAAGGCATTCTTTGGTTTTAGCTCTTGTTACGGACGACCTACAGAAGCCAAAATGACCCTTAGGTCCTCTTTAAACACAAACACACACACACACACACACACACACGCACACATCTAGGTTTTTAGGAGGGCAATGGGCCGGCGAGTTCCTTAAGAACTCTTTCGGAAGGCAACCCAAGAGGAAAACTAAAAATTTAAGTCGCTTCTCGCCATCTACTCATTGCCCTCAATCCCACGCAGTCCCGAGAAGCATCCATACTACCTGAGACCTGGCAGGGAGGGTGGAAGGCGCGGGCCAAGAAGCTCAGGATTTACAAGTAAGGCTGGTTTCCGCCCTGACGTTCCTGACAGCTCCGCAGAGTGCGGGCACAGGGTCTGACGAAGCCCTCCACGGCGGCTCGGCCGCGCTCTCCTCCGCGTACAAACACGTCCCGCCTCAGCGGTCGCGCCCTCCGGGGAGCTGGGTTTCACGTCGGCCCCAGCCGACACCCGCGGCCTCACCCCTCC